AGCCCCCCGCAGAACCTGCCAGTGGCAGCAGCCCTGTCAGGGGGGGGCACCGACCCTACCGACAGCATCAGTGATGGCCATCAGCAGGGGCACCGTCCCCGTCGGGGGGGGCACATGCACCCCTGTGCACTCCCTACCAGTTGTCTACGTCCACGTTTATATGCAGCCAGTTCCAAGTCTCCTTTCTACAAGGCGCAGTAAGAGAAGTACCAGGGCTCAGGAAGAGGGACCATCACTAGAAGATCCTTGGTTCACTGCACAAGTCATCAAGCTTGTGCAAGCAATTTTCCCCAGTTCCAGTCTGGGAGCCAAGCATAAAACCTTTCTGCGGCATCAAGAAAAGCCTTACCGAGACGGTGAGCGTGCTTGCCCGAGAGCTGACGTTAGCGCTCGTTAAAGCCAGGGGTCCTGGGCAAGCCTGCGCCAGCTCCCTGATGAACTCGTGGTTTGGAATGCGAACTCCGACCAGCTGAGAGAGAGAGAGAGAAGGGTAAACGTGTTTACAGCCGTGACCAGAGCTCCAGATCAGCTCGTTCTCCTGTTACATTGGGTTAGGGCCTCTTGGCTTACAGCCCCAGGCTGACGGGGCAATGCCCCAGCACCTGCTGCGACGGGGCAAGGATATGAAGCCGAGACCCTGCGGCACAGAGCTGAGCATATCGGAAACCGCCGGTCCCCCTGCAAGCGGTCGCGTGCCCGTCACTGACCAGGCAGAACCAGGCTCGAGGAAAAGCCAAGCAGCACCGAGTGCACAGCAGATGCACGGCACACGGGAGCAGGAGTGGGGAAAACCCTCCGCCTGTCAGACCAGAGATGCCGCTCATCCCCAAAGACTTACCGACGTGAACGGGTTCAAGTCCTTGTTGAGTCCATCCGAGCGCTGCAGGACCAGCGTCACGGGTCCGGGGAGCAAGTCCCGCAGAAGCTGCTCTGGCACGTTGACGTGGCAGTACCTGCAACGCAAAGGGGGGTCAGACCGAGGGCTGCTCGTTAACGTCCGGACTCAAGCTGCCTCCAGGTGCATTTCTAGGGCTGCAAAATGGAGAGGCGCAGATCTCCCTCTCCCTCCCCCTCCCCCCAAACAACGACGGTTTATCTGCACCGATGCTGCTGCATCCCCCCTCGTTTCCACACCGCCCGCTCCCTTGCAACAGCACCGGGCTGCGTGGAAACCCTCCACGCCTAGAAACGCGCCTCGCTTCCAGCCAGCGACAGAAGGCAGCCCTTTCCCCGCAGCGCCGGTCGGCGGCCGCCCAAAGCGATGGAAACGCAGCCGATTTCATCGTTCCGGTCACGGCTCTCTACGCGCCTGCCCGGCCCGGGGGGAGGCAGGGTCACATCTGCTTTCGCACGGTGCTGCTCACAACCCAACGCGGAGCTGACGGGAAGAGGCCCCGGCGGCGGCGGTGGTGGCTCGCCGACCCAGCAGATGCTCTCCAGGTTCCAGGCCCCCTTGTTACACTGAGCCCCCCCACCGCCGGGCTTCGGCTCGCCCCGTCGTGGAGAACAGCAACCCGGGAGCTCCCCGCGACACCCGGGGGGAGGGGAGGGGAGGGAAGGGGCCGGGCCGCGCACCTGTAGACGTGCTCCACGCCGGCCAGGCAGA